AAATACAAAACCCTATTACAGAGAAGAGCGCTTCTGTGGACCCGCAGCGATGGACACCTTTTGCTGCTTGCACAAATAGTTCTGCGTGGTACTGCTGCGAAATCCTCCAGACACGTGGTTTGTATTTACCCCACTGGAAATAGCACGCCTGGCCGTGGCTTTTCTTCCTCAGCAAGAAGATGCAAAGGCCAGGAAGAAGGTTGAGCAGTTAATGCAAAAGACCCGCGCTCTTGACGAGATTCGGCAACGAGAGAAGAAACGACAAGAATTCAGGCACCAAGTATGTCTGTACCATAAAAAAGCGTATGCTTACAACATACGCTTTAACCTCAGGTTCAGTAAGGTCTCAGTGAACATTTCTGCCCGTTTCAGTTCCTTATCTTTCGGTTCTTGTCTTGTCAGCAACAAGCCGAAAGAGAGCGGCAAGTTTTGGAGATCCAACAAGCGAATGCGGCGCAACGTGAACGTGACAGAAGGGCAAGAGATGAAGCTAGGAGACGGCAAACGGAAGCCAAAAGGTACGTCAGAAGGGCAAGTATCTACCAGGTTGACATTCCTGCAAGGTACAACCGTCTGCGCCACCAGGCTCGCAAACCCCAGCTGACTGGATGTGTCTTGCCTTACCCACTGAAGTGTATCAGTGTGGACGGTGCTACCAGCAGCTCGTTCTGAGAGAATACGCGTGCAATAGAGTGTACGCACAGTCTGGTGGAGACACGCAGAGAGGGCCTTGGGAAGCGTTGCTGACCAGCTAGACAGTTAATTCATGCGGCCGGCAGGAACGACGTGCTGCGAGCGAAGCGGGAACATGCGCTGGCTGCCGAGCAGAGACGCCACTACGAGGAAGAACAACAGGAGTATAATTTTCAACGTTCGCAGCAAGTCCGCAGAGAACAACAGCAATCACGTGAGAGAAGACGGCTTGAACAGGTGCAATTAGACACCACTGTTTCTTCCTCTTCCCAGCCCGACAGTGCTTAAAGAGCGTGAAGCCGTAACAGAAGGATTAAACTTGTTAGCTTTCTCACCAGCTGGAGCCAAAAAAGCACTAGAGGCACTTCAAATTCACGCCAGTGACGTCGTTGACTGCTTGGCTTCAGCAACGTCGCCTTGAGCAAACCCATTCCAATTACGATGCAAGAGTGGCGGAAGAGGAGAGAAAGGTAAATGCTCTGAGTGCCCAAAAGCGCCCTCGGATGGCACTTAAACAGGAGTTGGTTTGCCAGCTGCTTGCTGCGGCCAGCGCTCGTCTTCTGAGCTCAACACTTTGCCTTCCGATGACTTGATGGTAGTGCCTTGCTACGTGTGGAAATCGAGCGACACTGCGCAGAGGGAAGCGTTCGAGGCAAAAGTGGCTGAGCTTGAGCGGGAAGAAAAGGAACTGATCAGCAGGCTTCAGCAAACACATGTACGCTCACCAAGAGGGAGTTGAGTGCAAATTTAGTGATAAAGCGCACCCCATCAGAAAGGCCGTCTATCTGCGTGGTCACTACAAACGAAGCAGAGCTAAAGGTGGCACCGTGGCTGCGGCGGGTATCTTCAACCACTGTATTAAGTTGCCGTGTGCTGGTTCCAACTACTATGTAGGCGCAGCAACAAACTGCGTGCCAAGAGTTAGATGCTGCGCTGAGCGCCACTCCGCGGTTTAGTTCCCACAGGGAAAAAGTCAGTGCAAGACGAAACGAAAACACAGCAGCGGCAGCTCTCCAGGGCTGCTAAGGAGGCATGCCTAAGCATAGGGCCAGGGGGCACGCAATCTGAGACAGGAGGTGGCAAGGGCAGAGCGGAAACGCGCAGGGTGACTGTGACTGCATGAAGTGGCACTTGCCCGCAGGCTCTGCATTTAATGCGCTCATACGAGCAATCTTAAGCTATCTCCTTGCAGCAGGGGTCGCCGAGGTGTAATCGCCTTCAGTGCTGCATGCAGACTGTTTGCTGCAGTGGAACAATAGCTTTGGCTCGGAAGGCCCACAGCGACGAGCTCCCCCATCTGCCTCAAAGCGGTCTCAAACAAGGACAATGAAGGAAGTGGGATCCAGTGAAGTTAAGGAGTCATTTCGAAGTCCATCGACGAAGGCCGACGACACGCCAGTAGAAGAGTGCCAGCCAGCCGAGTAGTTGATCCCTACATAAATGAGCGTCACTTAAGTATTTGTTGTTTCTAGTCATATACTATGAGTATTGCTCACCTTGCGTTCCCCTTCTGCGTCACCATGCCTCGTCGGCGACTTCTCGCCCCACCACTTAAGCAGAGGCCGTTGCGACTGCCAAGCCGGTAGCCAGCCTACCTAATTGTGCCGCTGCGAGATTAAGGGTGTGGGGGTTGTTTCGGTGCTACTCTAATGAGTGAGCATCGCATGCGGGCGGCCTTGATCGCTCGAAGGCCGCCTGCACTGCAGTGGCGTGGGAATGGGTGAAACCCGCCAGCCAGGATGCAGCAATGTGCAAGTCCTATCGCAGAAAATTCTTCATCGCATTCACGTGGCCTTCTAGGCTAACAAACAGCTATGTCAGACAGTTTTGGTGTCAAGCAAAGTGATGAAAAGCTTCCGACCTGCATACAACTTAGCAAGAAGGTCTCCCGAAAGCAAAAGAAGCAGTAACCTGTTGTACACTGCAAATCTAATAGCGGAGGCGCGAGCACAGCTCAGCGCTGGCGCCTCCGCGCGCATACATAAAAAACGGCAGTAGCGGTGACGTCTTAGGATCGTCATGAGGTGCTGCCCATAAGCATCTTCATACAGGAACAATGTTTATGCACAGGAGGTCTCCCGCGTGCCCAGTGGTCCACGGCTTTTGATGAATTCAGCTAGGGTTAGACATCTGATGCCTTGAGACTGGAGGTAATCGATCGTTTCCGGTTCTTTGTCTCTGAGTATTGCAGCAGTTAGGTCTGTCAAAACGACCACGTCAGGAATACCAGCTGCCCGCAGCCCTATAGCGCTTTCCGCAACACAGAAGTCCAGACAGAACCCGCATACGGCAACCGTTTCCGCTCCTACTGAACGTAGCAGCTGCACCAACCCTGTCGGCATGCTGTCGTCTCCACACGCAGAAAAGCATTCACTCTGAGAAGTCGCAAAACAAATCCAATAAAAGCGCAATAAATAAAAAAGGACTACTGTGTGACGGTAAGTCAGCCAACAAAAGACAACGGAGCCCCTAAACTGTACCGTACGCTACTACCAGCGGCCAGCTGGGAAAGAGTTCTTGTGCTACAAAGCAGGCGAACAGATGAAAAATAGTAAAGCTGCAAAATAGTGGCTGAGCAGTCTTACAGAAGAGTTTCCGCCTTTAAATACCGCAAAGTCCCCTATATGCACCTTGATCGCGCTGTGTAACTTCGAGCCAGGCGTGTTTTGCACGCAATGCGGAGGCCACAGACGGACAACTGAAGGTTCCGCATTTTCTGAACATGGAGAAGGCACTACAACTGTCCAATCTTTGTCTAAACCCAAAGAAGTCGTGGCTTCATCAACAGCTGCACTGGCTGCTTGCTGGACGGAAGCGGAGAGGGTGGCGTTGCCACAGACGCAAACGCCATGCACGCACTTCTCTGAGTGTGAGCTCAAAAATGATACGTGGTCAGGCGGATGCCAGTCCAGCGAAAAGACAACCATGTCGCACCAAGTTTCCAAGTCGCCATGTTGCTCGCTGCCTCCTGTGGGTTCTGACGAAATACTCCGGACCATCTCCTCACTTGTGACCTCCCTACAGCTATCAACATTTCTTGCAGACCCAGACCCACAAGGTTGCGCATCAGGGTCGCTTGCCGATGTCTTGGCGGACAGTAAGCTGCGCCGCTTCAAATGCTGCAGCGTTTCTCCAATCCTCTGCACAACAGGCAGACCGCCTGGCGCTGGAAGAGCGCCTTCACAGAAATCATGTTGGGCGTCAGTCACTAGCAGACAGCAACGGCCATCTCCTCACTTGTGACCTCCCTACAGCTATCAACATTTCTTGCAGACCCAGACCCACAAGGTTGCGCATCAGGGTCGCTTGCCGATGTCTTGGCGGACAGTAAGCTGCGCCGCTTCAAATGCTGCAGCGTTTCTCCAATCCTCTGCACAACAGGCAGACCGCCTGGCGCTGGAAGAGCGCCTTCACAGAAATCATGTTGGGCGTCAGTCACTAGCAGACAGCAACGGCCACTGGCAACGCTTGCATCCTGAAACCCGTTCATTATACCGCTCCGAACGACGCGACGTACAGAAATGAGGCAGGGCTGAGGCAGGGGAGGTAAAGCGGCACTTATGAACCGTTGTTGTTCAGTCGACTTGAGAAGCCCTGTCTTTGAAGATAAGAGACCTTCAATTTAGTAGTACGAATTCGAAAAGGTGTTGCGATCGAGGCTAAGCGACCTACGGGGTAGGCCCAACGGGCAGCTCATCCCCAGAAAAGTCTCTGATCCTTAACAGTACGAACGCGCACTTCAGAAGAGTAATAATGTGTCGATCTACAGGCAATTCATCGATGAGTTCCAGAAACAAAACGCGTGCGTTGGAGCGGCCCCAGCGTGCATGCGCCGCCCTCACCAGCAGACTGCATGCATGAAGAACCAGTGCATGAATCTCAATGCATGGGTGTACAACTACTGTTTCAGCATACCCAATAACAAAGAAGGTAAAACACTTTACTGAAACAGGGCAGAAGTCATCAAGGCAAGTAGGTTTACTGCGACAACCTCCAGCCATTATAGACACCAACCCACTGACCGTTGCGCCGTGCAAGTTCAGAGACAGCCCCAAACACTGTAGTAGCCTGTACACGCCTAGCCATGCACGCAGGCCTCAGTGAAGTCTTAGAATTTTGAACCTATTTTCTCGTTGCACTGTATTCGAATTGTTAATTTTCACTTTCCCTGAGTTCCAGGGGAAGTGCCGGGCACGTGCACTTCGCCACCGCACTAACCAATTCCCCCACATCGTCAGCGCAGATATCTATTGAGAACACTGAGTCTCAGCTGCAGACCATCGTGAGCTGCAGCAGAGTCAAAATACTACCGTCCACAAAAACTAGCTGAAGTCCCCTAGGGTACCGCTGCCAAAGGGCCAATGCCACCCATGGACAGCCATTAGCTGCGCGAGGCCCTGCAGTGCAGCGTAGTCTGTGTAGCAAGTTGTGTGTGAAGTTGATATATGCATTTCTCTCTATCGATGGCAAAGTAAGTGCTTAAGATTTGTCTTGCTCTCCAGGATCCCAGGATCATTTACTTTTTATGTAAGCGGGGGAGGGCGTCCCTGGGGTAAGCTGCGAGCGGCGGGCTCCGTTGGCTCCTAGTACCTTGAGCCAAAGTACCGAGAAATACATCATGGCAAAAAAGTCGACACTCATGGATATTGCTGGTTAATCGTATTGCAGGCTTCTATCGAACAAAAAGCCTTCAGCGAGCTTCTAAGCGTACGGCTGTGCCTTCACCTGGGTACTGTTCTATTCGCATCAGTTTTACACATCAAACAGTTGCTTTTAGCAGCATATGAGGGGCAGTGTCGCATGCTTTCACAGTAGCCTTGACATAATGCAATCCCAGTACGAAAAGGAGAGCATCAAACATATCCTAAACTATTCCACAACCAGCGGAAGAGCTTTTTGGAGAGCCTCACTTCCATCAAACGAGTGTGGGATGCAACTCCATGTCTATTGCAGCTAATGCAGGGCGTCCGTTGGTGCACGCATGTCCATGTAGTTGTTGACGCCTTACTACATTGCGCGCGCAGCAGCAAAACAGTGTAGGCTACATGTGCATAGTCAAAGTGCAGCTAGATAACCTGCAAACCGCTATCTTTGCTGCTTTGATGAAATGAGCCACCTACAAGACGCAGACAACTACAAAAACTATTCCACACTTGACGGCCTAGAAAATACTACAGACTACTAATTTACTTAGTTGCATACCTATTATCCTAACTCGCGCCGTTCTATTCAACAATAGAACGGCGCGAGTTAGGCGTAATCCAACAGTCACTCAGCAAAAAGAGTGGCAAAATATTTCTTGCAGTGCTTGGCACGCTGTTTACACCTGATCAATGGCCAGTTTGGAGGGAGTCTTGGCTGCAGAAAGCTTACTGAGCAGGCAGACGCAGCGATTGCTTGTGATGGCAGGCAGCGCGTCAAGCCATGAGGGTTTGCG